GAGGAGGAGGAGGAGGAGGAGGAGGAGGAGGAGGAGGCGATGATCATCATCATCAATAGCACTAATTGTCTTTGGCAATGGAACAGCCTGGATGGATGGATGGATGGATGGATGGATGGATGATGGATGGATGGATGGATGGATGGATGGATGGATGGATGGATGGATGGATTTTAATTGCAGTCCAAAATATTTAAAGTATACATTGTGATAAAATTTGAAGGCATGAATTGGTAGAAATGGGTGAAGTGCCCACCCAAGTCCACTGCTCAAAACCTTGAAGTTGTCTCATCTCTCAGTAATTTGGCATGGCCAGCAAGGCCCTTTCCCAATCTTCTGAGCATCTGGCAAAATTGAATTCTGTGCATTCTTGTATGTGTCAATAGTGTAGCTGCTCTGAGCCTTTAAGATACACAGCTGCCTTCTTGCTTTATGCAAAGGAATGGGCATGCCCTCCAAACATTTTTTAAAAACTATGTGCAAGCATGCAGAAGTGAAAAAATAAATTTGAAACACAAATATTAAGAACATAAGTAAAACAATACTGAGAGTCAGTCTGATGTAGTGGTCAAGGCACCAGCCTAGAAACCAGGAGACTCTGAGTTCTAGCTCTGCCTGAGGCACGAAGCCAGCTGGGTGACCTTGGGCCAGTCACTCTCCCTCAGCCCCGGGAAAGAGGCAATGGCAACTCACTTCTGAAATCTTGCCAAGAAAACTTCAGGGACTTGCCCAGTCGCCAGGAGTCAACACTGACTCAAAGGCACACACACACACACACAAAAGGTAAAATAATAACTGGGCTCAAAGAACAATTTATTTCAATGTTCTTTTTCTGGCAGTGGCTATCATCAGATATGGATGTAGTTCTATAAAAATATTCCTTTATAAAACTCAGCTTTTTTGTGGCAAACAAAACCTGCAACTCATTAATTAAGCCTAATAAGTTCATTGTGATTCTGTGGGTCAACGTAACAATATTATTTCACAAATTTACTGTATTTCAGTCTGGCATTCTTCATACAGGGTAGTTGAAATTTATGGCACCTTCTTAATCTGAATTCCCGTAGAAAATACTGTGGTGACAAAAATCTATCCATAACAGTCTTGACTAATGTATTTTTCCTCTAACTTCACTGGCACTTCCCTGCAGTCTATTTCAGAATGCTGTTGTTGATCTCATTTTCATGGCTTGTACTAATCAGGTTCTTTTAAATGCCTGTGCATTTAGAATACATCAGGTGTTAAATTATATGCCTCTGCTGATGTTTTCCACTATTGTATATTACTACACTATCACCTAGTAGTGCCACAAACTATAAAGTAGTCTCCAAAAATAAAAAAAACTATACACACACACAAACACACAAAAACATTCATAATTATTTTTGAAATGTTATTGATATATTCTGAGAAAAAAATGTCATTATTATTTTTCTCAGTTTTCAACATTACTATTATTATTAGCCAAAAGACCGAATAGCAAAATACAGATATAATTAAAAGTCTGCCATATGATAAAACAGTTTAACAGGTAAAATAAATTGATAAATATTACATAAAACATTTATTAATAAAGTCCTTGTTTTAATAGCCATAGTAAAACTCACAACACAATAAAACATGATCCGTAGTTTCAAGGTCAATACCATTACAGGGACAAAATCTTTGAGACATGTGAACCTTTTGAAATCTATTGTATAACATATTTGATGGCAACACAAAAGCTATTCTATATTTACGTAAATGTAAACTGCTAAACTATATAGGGAACAGAAAAGTGTAGTTGTAAGCGCTTCTAAAGCTCCATGGAACTTAGGCTTTTCCTGTTAATTCCTGCCCTGAATTGTCCAATAACCTCTGTGTAATACAAGATTTAAGATGTGATTTTTGCATTAAAAACTTGTATTGCTGCAGGGACAAATCTCTCCTCCCACACTCCTTTGAATAAAAGTATCAAAGTAAAACTATCATAGTAGCTTTTGCTTTCAAAGGGATGGCCTTACAGTGACATTGCCAGGACAGAGCATGATTGAATAAAAGCCGAGTTCACTAAGATTCTTGACTTTATCATGTGATCTTGAATTTTCCTGCTATACCTTTTGAATTTTTTTAATCAAAAACCAAAAATTTAGCTTTATCATACTTGATTTGTACTTGATTTTCTTGCCAATACTGAATTAGTGCCTCAAGTTGCTGTTTCAGTCTAATATGTGAAAAAAGAATAGCATCATCTGGAAATAACAAAGCACAAATTTTCCTTTTGTTTGAGAAGAAAAAAATTGCCATCACTGTTTTCCTCAGTTTTCAATACAGTATATATTACATGTATGCTGAAAAAATACCATTTGCAGACACAGTGTTTGTGGTATCAGGTTGAGTGTGGGGCCCAGGAGAGCATGATAAGCTTTGGCTAGCAATGAAATTGGGAGTGCAGGAAATTGGGTGGGACAATTTTTCCACTTACAGAAGTTACTTTCGATATGACATAACACTAAGGAACACAAAACTAAAGGTTTTTTTTCTTAATAAATATTTTTTATCATCAGTTTGGATGCAGTACTCTACTGTGATACATTTTACACACAATGCTTTGGATTCAACTCCTCTCCACAAGCTGAAATTGCCATTTGAAGGTGGTTTACAAATGACTTTGAGCAAATTATGATATGCAGTTTGTCCCAAGATTTTGGGAAATGTTCAGACACTCAGTACAAGAAACCATTCTTATGACCCCCCCCCCTTTTTTTTTAATTTGGTAACATGCAAGACAAGTGTTATTTTCAGCAGTGCAGATTTATTTCAGTCAAGTAGCATTCATACTAAAGGGTCTAACCAACCATCTATGCTGGTTTCTCCCCTCTTTTTCTCCTGCCATCCTTCAGATTTTGTGATAAGTGGGGAGTGATTTATCTTGAAAGCATTTCAAAGTTAACTATTTCACTACTTGTAATACAGGTAGTCTAAATCTGTATCTATATATCTGTATAACTGTCAGTTATTTCTAAACCCTCTCTAACTCTCCCTTAGAGTTAAGCAATGGGATTAATTATGCTTGGCTGGTGTCAACAATTAAAAGCTTAGAATCATAAGGTTTAAATGGGCTGGAGACCAATCTCCTAATGAAAGTCAAATTGAAATCATCAGATAGGATCCCACTTATAGATGATCTAATTCAGCATTCATTCTCTGTCCAGTATTGACTACTAGATGGTCATTTGAGATCAGATCTTTATAGGGAAGTCAAGCACACCCTTGTTTTTTGACTAACACATAATAATTACAATTAAACTGCCTTTGCATATTTAGCTATCACATACTCTGTGATTTGTCAAAATTGTTTTGGCCATGTCAGTTAATCATCATCACCATATCATACAGCGCTGAATTCTGCATAAACTGACATCCTGTTTTATCTTTGTCAAAATGTTGATGCATGTAATTTTAAATTCATAATGGTTAAGGCACAGCAAATGATAAATCCAGGCAATGTTACATATTTTGCTTTTTTGGGAAAAGATATTTAAACTGTCTCCCTGGGAAAACAAAAGAAAATAAAACTGTATAATAGGTTCTGTAAATTTGATGAGATATGAATAGCAGTTAAATAAGACTAGATTTATGGGGTCATTAAAAGATAATTATCTGTTTGTTCCTAGAAGAACGACTTTAATTACACAATTAAGGTTTAGATTGTTTTCATTATGCGTAGGAGCACATTACAAATTCAGGTTTCTCAGTCATTTCTTTCTACATTATAAAATCCAGTTTGCTTCCAGTCTAATTTTAGAAGTCCATAGTACTATGAGTTACATAGATGTATTGCACATCTTATGTGTCAAAATTAAGCTTGTTTATTTGTTTGGTAATTTGAAATTTACTTGGATTTTTCATCAGTTACAAGACCGATAATATGTTAGAACATATAGTGAGAATGTATGCAACATGAAACATTTCCACTACACTGAAATGGAAAATATAAAGGGCATTTTCTACTAATATCTAGAATATAACATGTATGAATAACATGTGTAATCAAAGTGTGTCAAAATATATTAATTATTTATGATTATGTGCCATCAAGTCAGTGTCAAGTCTTAGCAGCCACATAGATTTTCCTTCAGGATGATCTATCCCCAATCAAGTCCTTCAGGTCTTCCAATAGTATACCCTTCGCCACTGTAATCAAGACCTTGTTGCTGGTCATTCCCTTTTCCTCTTTCCTTCCACCTTTCCCAGCATTACACACTTCTCCAGAGAGCTAGGTCTTCACATAATGTGTCCAAAAACTTTGACAATTTCAGCATTTGTG